TTTTTATTTACTATGTAAAAATTCAATATACCATGCAGATCATATGAAAAATGATCTACGTACACCCTACCCTTAACTGATAATTACATGAAATTACTTATTATAATTTTATAACGCTTTTATTAATAATTATTGATAATTTGAAAATGCTTTCAAAAATTCCTTTATTTATAAAATTCAACACATAAGTTTAGCTTTGAATAGAATGATTAAAGTTTATAAACGATGTTGATCACGCTTGGTCTCTTTTCAAACCAACACTACATTTGGTTTTCATTTATATCGTAACATTCTAACCAACTTTTTTCTTTAACTTTCGGCTTCTCTTCACTCAGCCTCATTTTTAATATGCCGTATATGACCGAATATAAGCAACAAAAAAGTGAGAATTTTTTCCCGAGCAAAAATGAAGGGATTGCTTACATTCGGATCAAATTTTTATTACAGTATTAAAATATAACCTTCGCCAAGTCTTTGGCTCCAAAATTTGGGGTTTCATTTATTCGGTAATGCTTATTCGGTAATATACGGTGCTGTATCGGTATATACATTTTATCGTTATGTACCGGTTATATACATTTTACCGTTATGTACGGTATATATTTTTTGCAAATAATTAATAATACGCACATATTGCAGATATTGCAGAATCAAGTCTTAATCATGTTTCAAGTCACACAGATATATGTAAAATTATTTTTCACTACGATCTTTCATTATGGTGCAGTAAGCCTCTGCACAAAGATAACGCAGGTTAACCTATACATGAGTGTCTAAATTATTTTTTAAAAAAAGCAATTTCGACAAACATTTGATATTGCTAATTTTTTTATATGAATTCCACAAAGTAACTATTCTACCTAATGTATTTGGTATAAAAGAATTCAAATAATTTCACTAAAACTTTCGACAACTATGAAAATTAATTTGCCACTAAGAAAAATTAATTTCAACAGACTAAATGCCAAACAACTTTTTATTAAGAAAAGTAATTAGACACCCATGTATAGGCTAACCTACATACGATACAATCTAGTCTATGCATGTACGTACGTACATTATTATTACACTACTCATATATAGAAAATAACAAATTAGACTTTTTTTATTTTTGAGATCACAAATTATGGACGAATTTTGGACTGATTCTTAGTAGTTCTTAAAGTCAGGTTCAGACCGGCCCTTGTGGCCCACTTAATATTCAACCATATATTTTAAGAGACAAAGTATCTGCAAAGAGAAAAGATGTTATGGGGCTTCATGTTTATTGCTCACCAGACTCAGCCTATTTGCTATCTGATTTTTTTAGGGATTATGTCCGGCAAATTATAATTTTGAAACTCGACAGGCTTTCATTTAGCTGCATTCATATGTGGCACAATCATCGGCATTTCATGTTTCATGTGAGTATACATAATTCAGTTGGTATGCCTTTAAATACTTTTTGATTTAACTGCATTTATGCACTACTAATTCAGAATTTAGAGATTAGATCTTATACTAGAATAGTTTGGTTTTATTTGCGCAATGCATCATCTAACATTCTATAAGTTTACCAAAAAGATTTTTACATGTTTTATGTAAATCTAAACTGTTATACGTACATACGGTGGGTTGCCTCTTTAGTCTCTGGACATCCTCACCATATTGGTAAAACGAAAGGAAAGACTCGTTTTTGCATTGATTATTGTCGCCTTAATGCCATTACCAGGAAAGACAGCTATCCTTTTCCCGGATAGACGAACTTGACGAATTCTTTTAATTATGTTAGCAAAGAAAGGTATTTTTAAGACCATTATTTGTTACTGTTACGAATAGATGTAAGAAAAATAAATTGATATTTATTATATTACGCCAATTTTTCTTATTGCATCCAGCTAATCAATCCGTACCCGAAGACAACTTGGTAGATAAATTGGTTCAATAAAAGGTTAGTTGTTCAATATCGATCAAAAGTTAGTATATAATAATTTAAATACTGTATATATTTTTAACTTTAATATTTATTTAGATTAAAAAACTTTTTAAAGATATAATGCACTATAGATTATCATTTTGATAAAAATGATGATGGTTTATCAGTTGTAGTTTCAATAGGAAATTAGGATATTGGAAAGGCATTTGACGGTAATTCCACAAATAAAAACCGTAGTAAATTTGTTAATGGTAAAATTTTGTTTTTAAAAGCTAATTTTTTAATTCATAAAAATACTCTAGATATGGATACTAGATTAGCTATGGTCATTTTTTCTCATAGTGTAAATAGTTTTACCGGTGCTATGGAAGAATTTGGATATTTTAAGCAACAAGAAACTTGTGAGAACATGTTTTTCGGATTTAAGTGTTGAAGAACAAGCACGGTAATGTTATTTAATATAATTTCACATATTTAACCATTTCCAAATTAAGTAGTTAAGATTTATTATTACTATTAAATAGGATTTTTTTGTACTTTTTTTTTATAATAAACCTAAATATAATTTATGATAATTTTACATATGTTATATGTCAATTCACAAGGGCCGCCTTGACAAATAATAAAGTTCTCTTGGTAGCATCCACATACATTTATAGCATAAATTTGTTTAATGATTTACCATATGAATGGAAAGTTTTAATTGTATCAGGATGCAATTTCAATGAGACATATTGATTATACGTACGTGCTACGTGATCAAAAGCCTGTAGAGCGCTTATTGGTTCAAATTGGCATGACTAAATTTATTTGTAAATTTAATTCAATTAAAAGATAGAAGTTAATTTTAAACTTAAAAAACAAAGTTCGATCCTAAATTAAATGTCAAAGACTGCTCATTATACAGAATTTTTTGTAATTATCTATTTTCAACTATAATACCAAATATTTGTATAAAGAATCTTTTTAGATTTTTAAAGCTTACAATCAACCTTAACGTCATTTAAAAATAATCTGTCATCAATTTATTATTGATCAGTATATAAATTTAATCTATAAATATATATTTGCTGGAATTGATGAATGAATTACTGAGCATCGATCAACAAGTTGTTTTAACCGAAAACTTACCAAGCATCAATAATATAATTCTAATAGGACAGAATGAAACCCGCGTTGTAAATAAGTAAAAGCCGCTACGTAGATCACGTTAGGGTGAAATCCGCGTTTAGCTATGTTTTTTTATTATGCAAAAGCGAATTTCACCCTCATGTCATCTACGTAGCGGATTTTACTAATTCACAGCGCAGGTTTCACCTTGTCGTATTCTAATTATATTCTGATCTGATATTTTACAACATGCGTGAGATATCCAGAGAATTCCAAAATAAATAAATTATTTTACAATATTTAATTTTTAATAGAGGAATTTTTAAATTTGAATAGAAAAAATTCAATAATGCTCAAAAACCTCAGAATTTAGGACAAATAATGCTCGAAATCCATCGATTCCAATCTCTATTGCCGGCCTATTCATCTTATTATAAATTATGGTTAATAAATTCTGAAGACAGTCACCTAAAAAGACAATCAAGTCTTGACCTTAAGTATATACAATTTATATTAAGGCAGTTTTTTAGACAGTCGCCTAAAAGACAATCAAGTCTTGACCTTAAGTATATACAATTTATATTAAGGCTTATGTAAATATTAAAAGACTGTAATTAGGCCATTTCTAGTTGATTCTTAGGTTAACATCGATATTTAGGCTCAGGCATGGGGGATTTAAAAAACACATATGGGAACGCCCACGGCAAAAGCAGGGGATGGGACTATATAATTTATAGTCTCATCCCCTGCTTTTGCTGTGAATTTTCGATCAAATCTCATTGGTCAACATTAATCACATGATTAATGAAGTTTATGCTGCGTTATTGGGGTGTCTATCATCGGTCTAATTACAAACATAGTGCATATGATATAGTGTTCATCCACTAATTAAGATTTTT